CTGCGGGTGTGTGTGTGTTTCGAGCTGGGTTCAGCTGTGTCTCGCTGTCTCGCAGACGGCCACTGGGCTCACGGGAGGGGGGGGGGGGGGGGGGGGCAGGAGCTCCAACAAGCCGTTTAGGACAGAGAGTGAATACACATACTATACAGAGATGCTGTATGAGAAACCAATGTGAGTTTGGAACATTGAACAATATAAATGTATTCTAGTAGACCTCAACAATGGAATTATGATCAGTAGAAATGGCCATGACATGGGACCTTTAATAATAATACATTTATTTTCTATAGCACACTTTAAAAACAACGTCATCTCAAGGTGCTTCACAATGCTATGAGGAAATGGCCATGACATGGGACCTTTAATGTCTTACATTTTTGTAAAACACTTTGAATTGCCTTGTGTTGAAGGTGCTGTATAAATAAACTTGCCTTCTTGTTAACCATCGAAACACTTGAGATATTTCAGTCTGGACCAAGTGCTGGACTAACATAAATAGCAGAAGTTTGTTGCATGTGAATTTAAATCTATATAATTATAGATTTCCTTCAGAGTTTTCTCAGGGGAGGACAGGGAGAAAATGGAGTTTCTGAGGAAGAGATGAGAAGAGAAAATCATGTTAGGAAAAAAGAGCGAAAGACAAAGAGAGTGTGTGATAGAGGAAACATTAGTGAGAGCAGAGAGGGTCTGCTGGGAATCGTTCGGGGTGAGAGAACATTTTCTGCTTCTCGGGAGTTTGTGTGAAACCAAATTACTGAAGACAACAGAATTACAGACGCAGACGTTCAAGGGGGAGAGAAACGAGCAAAAGAGAAGAGACTGAAATGAAAATGATACTGGGAGTGATTTGATTGTTTTTCCTGCTTTATATTCAAAGCAGGAAAAACAAAGAGTGAAATCAGAGGCAGAAATCAAAACGTTTGTCCACCTACAAATACATTAGTGTATTAACTGTGTTCATTAAAGAGGACATAACTACTCACTTTCAGGTGTATATCAGTATGTAGTGTCTCTACTTTAAAGAGTCCTCTCCTGCTGATGTTCAGGTGTATATCAGTATGTAGTGTCTCTACTTTAAAGAGTCCTCTCCTGCTGATGTTCAGGTGTATATCAGTATGTAGTGTCTCTACTTTAAAGAGTCCTCTCCTGCTGATGTTCAGGTGTATATCAGTATGTAGTGTCTCTACTTTAAAGAGTCCTCTCCTGCTGAGACAGAGAGACAGACAGTGAGACAGACAGTGAGACAGATAGAGAGACAGATAGAGAGACAGATAGTGAGACAGACAGAGAGACAGACAGTGAGACAGATAGAGAGACAGATAGTGAGACAGACAGAGTGAGACAGACAGCGAGACAGACAGTGAGACAGACAGTGAGACAGATAGAGAGACAGACAGTGAGACAGATAGAGAGACAGACAGTGAGACAGATAGTGAGACAGATAGAGAGAAAGATAGAGAGACAGATAGTGAGACAGACAGTGAGACAGATAGTGAGACAGACAGTGAGACAGACAGTGAGACAGATAGAGAGACAGACAGTGAGACAGATAGTGAGACAGACAGTGAGACAGATAGAGAGACAGACAGTGAGACAGATAGAGAGACAGACAGTGAGACAGATAGAGAGACAGACAGTGAGACAGATAGAGAGACAGACAGTGAGACAGATAGAGAGACAGACAGTGAGACAGACAGTGAGACAGACAGTGAGACAGACAGTGAGACAGATAGAGAGACAGATAGAGAGACAGACAGTGAGAAAGATAGAGAGACAGACAGTGAGACAGACAGTGAGACAGATATAGAGAGACAGACAGTGAGACAGATAGAGAGACAGACAGTGAGACAGATAGAGAGCTAGACAGACAGTGAGACAGATAGAGAGCTAGACAGATAGAGAGCTAGACAGTGAGACATATAGTGAGACAGACATAGAGACAGATAGTGAGACAGATAGAGAGACAGATAGTGAGACAGATAGAGAGACAGACAGTGAGACAGACAGTGAGACAGACAGCGAGACAGACAGTGAGACAGATAGTGAGACAGACATAGAGACAGATAGTGAGACAGATAGAGAGACAGATAGTGAGACAGATAGAGAGAAAGATAGAGAGACAGATAGTGAGACAGATAGAGAGACAGACAGTGAGACAGACAGTGAGACAGACAGTGAGACAGACAGTGAGACAGATAGAGAGACAGATAGAGAGACAGATAGAGAGACAGACAGAGAGACAGACAGTGAGACAGACAGTGAGACAGATAGAGAGACAGACAGTGAGACAGATAGAGAGACAGACAGAGAGACAGATAGAGAGACAGACAGTGAGACAGATAGAGAGACAGATAGAGAGACAGATAGAGAGACAGACAGTGAGACAGACAGAGAGACAGACAGAGAGACAGATAGAGAGACAGACAGAGAGACTTGAGACAGATAGAGAGACAGATAGAGAGACAGATAGAGAGACAGACAGTGAGACAGATAGAGAGACAGATAGAGAGACAGACAGTGAGACAGACAGAGAGACAGATAGAGAGACAGATAGAGAGACAGATAGAGAGACAGATAGAGACAGACAGAGAGACAGACAGTGAGACAGACAGTGAGACAGACAGTGAGACAGATAGAGAGACAGACAGAGAGACAGATAGAGAGACAGACAGAGAGACAGACAGTGAGACAGACAGAGAGACAGACAGAGAGACAGACAGTGAGACAGATAGAGAGACAGACAGTGAGACAGACAGAGAGACAGACAGAGAGACAGACAGTGAGACAGATAGAGAGACAGATAGAGAGACAGACAGGCAGAGCAAACAGACATTAAATAGAAATGAAGAGGAACAGGATCGTTCTGTAATCTAATGATGATGACTGAGAGCCACAGTGTGTGTGTGTGTGTGTGTGTGTGTGTGTGTGTGTGTGTGTGTGTGTGTGTGTGTGTGTGTGTGTGTGTGTGTGTGTGTGTGTGTGTGTGTGACTCTAGCTCTAATTATCTGTCACACACTGAAATGGAATAAGTCCTCAGGGAAAGACGTGGAGAGGGAAGACGAAGAGGAGGAAGTGTTCAGTTATGAAACGACCTCCTGTCAAAACACACATGAAACTGACAGACCTGCGCTTCATTTATTCATCATTAATACGGCGGATTTGAACTAATCTATCTATAAATGAGTAACACTGTGTCCTGTGTCAACACCATGCATTAATGATTAGATTCCTCTTAAAGTTGCATTAAAAAAAAGTAAGAATTGCATTTTAAACAGGGCTTTCTAAATTAGAGCTACGGTATGGCTGCCGGATATGGCACCCCCTCTGTAACTTTGGCAAAGATGGTCATAATCTCACCAAAATTACACCGGTTTTAGCCGTTTCCCTCTAGTTTAAGCAAACAAAAGCATTTTACTCTGAGCCGATCAGGTGAAAAATTAAAGGGGTACTTCTAAATCTGGTGTTATGGCTGCCGGATTTGGCAAAACCTGTGTAATTTTGGCCAGGAGGGTCCTAAACTCATCCAAATCTCACAGGTTTTTAGCTATTTCCCTCTACTTTAAGCACACAAAAGCAATATTCCCTGGATTCATGGTGTATAAATCTGGCACAGTTGGTGTTATGGCTGCCGGATTTGGCACCCCCTGTTTAAAATTGGAAAAGGAGGGTCATAATCTCACCGAAATTACACTGTTGTTAAGGTCCTTACACACCAAACTGACACCAAAGAACACGTCCAGACGGAACGTCGCCTCACGTCTCTGCGTCTTGGCCATGTGTCGCACTGGAACACACCGCAAAGACTTCAGCCGACGGCCAAGTTGCACGTACGAACTGCGCATGCGTGAGTGGCAATAACTCTCCTTACCAGCAGGCGGCGGTAGTGTGTATTCGTCATTCAAAAGAGGCAACAACCGGAAGAACAGACTGCGTGATACACCGAGAGAAGAAGAACAGACTGCGTGATATAAACAAACAACAAATAGCGTGTGCGTTCCATTTTCTCTCTACAGCGAGAAGCTCATGGGGCTTTCCTGAACCTGTGTCGAGAGCTGGAGTTAAATGAAATCTCAGATTTGCCTTCTTAATAGTTTGTTTGGGTCCCTGACTTCCGTTTCGCTTCTCATGCACTGATTCGCTAAGCTGAACAGCCAATCAGAGTGATTTCTTTGGCCGACAGCCTCCCGATTCAACATGTTGAATTGGCGGCGGAAGGTGTCGGCACGGCCGAAAAGACACAACGGTGCGGGACACACCAAGACACACCAACCTGAGTAGGGCGACATGGCGCTCATCGGCGCTCATCGACGGCCCGACATCTATCGACGGCCGAAATCGGCTTGGTGTGTAAGGGATTTTAGTTATTCCCCTTTACTGTGAGCACACAAAACCATTTGACCCTGGATTCATGTTGTATAATATTAAAGAGCTGGCAGGGGGGGTCTTAAATGTATTATTGCAACTCCATGCAGATTTTTGTGCATCATGTTTATGGGGAAACATTAGGTCTTTGTCACATAAACTAAAGAAGGCAATAAGAACAGCATAACAGCACTTTGGCTCATATTCAACAGCTAAGATCAGCGGTTCCCAACCTTTTTTAACTCAGGGCCCACTTAAGAATCTAAAAAAATGTGCAGCCCACATTCAACTATAAACAATACGGAGGCTAAATTAAGTTCTGATTGGTCAATTCAGAACATGTGACACGTTGTTAATCCAGTAGAACAGACCGCTGTCAAGGACTGTAATGACCGTTGCTAAGGAGGATCAAGAAAGAGAAAGGAAAGGAGGTTCAAATTAAAATCCACACAAATCATATTTTTTGCAAATTATTTGGCGGCCCACAGGTTGGGAACCGCTGGTTTGGATGAACATGCTCTTATCAATATCCTGTTCTGATCAGACTGAACTACGCCTCTCAAAGTCATTGAGAGATCATCGTTGAATTGTTTTCCCAGACTGTTTTTTTCCATCCTGACATTTCCCTCTCTTCACAGTGAGCTCCAACCAGAGCCATGGGGAGTTCCCGGACTGCCGCAGCGAGAGGGAGTTTGGGGGGGAGGCGTCTCTGCTGGTGTCTCCTCTGGTGCTGGCGGGGATCGTTATAGGTCTGGTGCTCTTCCTCTCCTGCGTCACCATCATCGTCGGCAGCCTGCGCAAAGACAGCCGCCTCCGAAACCCTCACCTCAGAGCGAGCTACGGTCAGCATCAAACTCTCACTTCCTCACTGACTTATAAGCAGAGATGGCAAAAGTTCACACATGCTTTAATCAAGTAGAAGTACAGATACTCGTGTTTAAAAATACTCTGGTGAAAGTAGAAGTACTGACTAAACTTCTTTACTCAAGTAAAGTAAAGAGGGCTTTGAAATGTACTTCAGTAAAAAGTACCCATAGCTAGCAGCTGTTTTAAAGAGTACCTGACCTCCCTTTATATTAATAGAACAATAATGTCATTGTTAGCTAATGAATGTTTCCATGCTGAACAACGGCAACATGACAACGTTTTCATTGGTCCCTCTTCTTTAGAGAAGACCAGGAAATGATGGATACACGGATCGTGTTCAAATCAATAGGCACGCAATGACTCTAAATAATAATGATCACGCCACCAAACACACATTCAAACTAAAGGAACCAGCCTGTTTGGAAAATGTGAGAAGTAGAAAGTACAGGTATTTGGGTTCAACATGTAAGAAGTAGAAAGTACAGGTATTTGGGTTCAACATGTAAGAAGTAGAAAGTTCAGGTATTTGTGTTCAACATGTAAGAAGTCAAAGTAAAAAGTCGTCAGAAAAATAAGTAGTGGAGTAAAGTACTGATACCAGAAACATGTACTTAAGTACAGTAAGTATTTGTACTCCACTACTTCCCACCTCCGGTTGTAAAAAGGCAGCATTTCAAGTTATACATCTTGTAGAGGCTAATCCAAAGCCTCTGAGGATCCGCTAACTTGACGTTATTGACGCACACATACAGTAGCTTGCCACATGAATAAAAGTCAGATACAAAGTCTTCAGTCTAAAAACAGTCCATTAATTTCCTTTTACCATACATAATATTACGGTTCACACAATACCTTAACAAATGTTTGTAATCCTGTGTTTGCGTGTGTGTGTTCTCACAAGTACACAAACATTGGTTATTACCTTTACAGTATACCCAAAGTGTTAATATATACATTTAATTGGTAACACTTTATATTAAGGTACACATATTCACCATCAACTAGCTGTTAATTAACATGCATATTCGAGCCAAACTACTAGCTTATTAGTGAACATATTCTGAGTTAGAAATACCTGATTTTAAGTTATTTTGACACAATTAACCCTTGTAGTTTCATGTCTTGTTACAAATAGACGACATTTGCTAGGTGTTATTATGGGAGAATTACTATTCTTGTGGTACTGCTACTGCATATTGAGCATATTAAGAACCACTCATGTACACCAACAACAACTCTCAACTAATGGCCTAGTACTTGTAGAATAAGTTCATGTAGAATAAGGCATTAATAAGTGTTTTATACTGACTAATAAAGAGCCAATATATTGCTAACATGCATGTTAATGAACAACTAGTTGATGGTGAATTTATGTACCTTCATATAAAGTGTTAACATTTAATTTAGCTGCCTATCAAGAAGTGTGTTCAACCATAATGAAAACATGAATCGTGAGAGTTCACTGGCTTCATTTCCCTGCAGGTCTGGATGGTTTTTCCTACGGAGGCTCAGTAGGAGAGCTGAGATCGACCTGCTTAGAAGATTTCCCTCCGGGTTTAGACTTTGATTCGTACAGAGAGACTTTGTCCCAGGTCAACAGCTTTTACCCCGACTCACCACCACGGTAAGTACTACTTTAAATGTTTAAACAATCAAATGCAACATCTGAAGCCTGCTGTCAAAACACACATGAAACTGACAGACATGCTTTTCATTCATTCATTATTAATATGGCAGATTTTAACTCATATCTAAAGTTGAGTAGTCCACCATGCATTAATGATTACATTCCCTTGCAGTTGCATAACAAAAAGTAAGAATTACAACATTAAAATACATTTTAAAGGGGGCTTTCTAAATCAAACCCATCTGTCCTCACCCAACACCAGCTATGTTATGTTTTATCAAGTAATCCACTCCTCCTTTTTGCCAATGATGTCAAATGTCAAATCTAAAAAACGTTACTGGTGATTCAGCTCGTTTCCCCGACTTTTCTCTGTCCTCTCGGCTTGATAATCCATTTATTGGGGAGTATTTCTTCGTCTGGCGCAGCGATAAACGTTAGTGCTCTTTCTGTTTGTTGTGTAAGAGGAAGAAAGAGTTTGCTAAAAGGCCAATGTCACGGTGTTTTTGATCTAAATGTCAGCTGGTCTAATTGGCAACTTTAATAATCCACATACATCCCTTCCCTACTGTGTGTGTGTGTGTGTGTGTGTGTGTGTGTGTGTGTGTGTGTGTGTGTGTGTGTGTGTGTGTGTGTGTGTGTGTGTGTGTGTGTGTGTGTGTGTGTGTGTGTGTGTATACGTGTGTGTGTGTGTGTCCTAGCATTACTATACTTATGGGGACCTAAATCTGTTTACACAGTCACGTGTGGGGACTCGCCTCCCTTATGGGGACAAAATGGAGGTCCCCATGAGGGGAATCATTAATTTTAGGGTGAAGACTTGGTTAGGGTTAGGCATGTGTTGGTTATGGTTAAGGATAGGATAAGTCTCCAGGAAATGCATGTAAGTCAATGTAATGTCCCCTGAAGTGATGTGTACATGGTGTGTGTGTGTGTGTGTGTGTGTGTGTGTGTGTGTGTGTGTGTGTGTGTGTGTGTGTGTGTGTGTGTGTGTGTGTGTGTGTGTGTGTGTGTGTGTGTGTGTGTTTCCCCTTGATCTGCCTTGGAGTCATCCAATCACTTTACCCCCAAATGAATCGATCAGAGGTTGGATAGCATCTTATCTTTTCTATTTGTTCATTAAAAGAGAGTTCATTTACTGACTCAGAAAAGTGTGTGTGACTTTCTGATGTCCCGGTCATTTTAAAACTTTACGACTTTCAGCATCAATGTAAATTAAATTAAATGGAACTAAGGAAAACACACATTCGAGATGCTTATTCTTCACTAGGGTTGAACCTGAATAGCAGGATGTTGGGACTGAACCAAAGCTCCGGTCATGTTCTTCCTGCCATGTTGTAAAACAAAGTGCATTATCCTTACGATGCATTATCTGTGGAGGGCTTACACCTGGTCAGCAGCGGGGGTTTTGTTTGCTCCGGTGTTTAAGTAAAGCTTTGTGCTGCAGGATCTTTATGTGGGCCAAGAAAATGTTCCCATCACAGCTCCCACAATGCACCACAATGTTTACGATAAACACACACATCCTGATTAATAGCAGCACGGGGTAGAAACCGTAACATCGTGTTTTAAAACAGTAAAACATAATTCATTTTAGAAATTGTAATTGAACTGATTATCTGTGTTTGTTTGTACACTTTAAACTAAGAGTTAAGGTGTGAGAAACAACATGTAAACAAGGGTGAAAGTCAACGGTCCCTAGACAGGAAAGTAGGGCTGCTCAATTAAACGTATTTTAATCGCTATTACGGCCCGTCCACACAGCAGCGTTAAAAAAATCTTGAAGGTGGGCGTATCTGAAGCTTGGGGATTTTTTGCGAGCAAGGCACCAACAACCAATCACATGAATCTCCCGCCCCCGACATACGAAGCAAAAAAGCCCGAAGTAAACTGGATATAAACTCCCCAAACAGGCGAAAACCTACCACTGTCTCTGCCACCTCCCTCCATGCCTGGCTCCTCCGGTTTGTATCCCGGTAGGTAAAATAGGGACTGGTCATAAAGCACCAGGTGATTCCCTACCGCTAATTTCTCCTCCATGTTTTGGAATATGAGGAAATGACCTGCGGTATGTCTCTCCCAGCATACACGCGGTTTGATTGGCTAGCGCTTGAACTGTCAGATTTGCATACACGGGATTTGATTGGCTGACGCTTCCACCTCAGCTTCAAAAGTTGAACATTGCTCAACTTTAACGATTTTTTAACGCTGCTGTGTGGACGGGCCGTTACGATTATGGCTTGCAACGATTACGAAAACATTATTATCTTTTTATTATTATTATATTTTTTTTTTCAAATACATTTTTTTTTTTTTTCTTTTCAGTTGAATAATACTTAAAGTTCAGGGTAATCAACTGTTAAAAACATACTGTTCACATTTTCTTTCTCCAATAAATTGATGTTTTCAAAGTAAATCGTTTTTAATAATCGTGATATCATTTATTGACCAAAATAATCGAGATTATGATTTTTGCCATAATCGAGCAGCCCGACAGGAAATTAATGTTTAGATTGCTCCTTATTAAAGGTTTAAAGGTTTTTCACTTGTAAATTACATCAGATGAGCTGGTTGCTAATGTTTGTTGATGTCTATGTGGCTATAGTGTGTGTGTACGTACGTAGGTGTGTTGACGTGAGAAAGAATAGCCAATGCTAATGCTAATGCTAATGCTAATAGGTTTCTAATAAAACAAAGGCGAAGAAACAAGAGATCTGCATCATGATAGAAAAGGATGAAACAAAAGAGAAGGGAGCTACAACGACGTCAGAGAACTGGCAGGAAACCAGAGCATTATGAACAGACTGTGTGTGAGCCGGACAGCAGCCAACACACACACACACACACACACACACACACACACACACACACACACACACACACACACACACACACACACACACACACACACACACACACACACACACACACACACACACAACACACACACACACACACACACACACACACACACACACACACACACACACACACACACACACACACACACACACACACACACACACACACACACACACACACACACACCACACACACACACACACACACACACCACACACACACACACACACACACACACACACACACACACACACACACACACACACACACACACACACACACACA